ATAGACAGTTAAACTGATTGCTTTAAGCCTTTTCCAGCTTTATGCAAATCATCTATTTTCACTCATTAATTCTTTGAAGTCGCTTGTTTGTGTCCATGAATATACACAAATCAATTCATTACATACAGTATATTAAGAAACTACTGTAGCATGTTATCATAAGAAAATATTCAAGATTAACATTTTGCCCACACAAACCCAGTGCTGTTACTCTCCCATGCAGAGGACCACCTTGCTGTGAAGGCCTGTGGCCAGCAGTGATTCATGGCATGAAGCACAGGGCTAAATTGAATCAGCATAAACAATTACAGTTTAGTTGATATAGTCTAAGTGTGTGTATGTGAGTTGGAGAGGGATGAGGAACGAGAAATGAGAAATCCTGTTATCTGACTGGGCAGGGATTTAAGCTTGGTGGACATGTTTGCAGCGTTTATCATTTCTTCTCAAAGGGAAACACTGTTGATCCAATGCTGGGAGGATCTGAGCTGCTCTGCTGTGGCACTCATGTGTGTCTGGTCATGGAACACATATTGATAATGTTGTGTTAAGGGGCTGCAATCCAAGCTACACACTGCAGAAGCAATGGGGCTCTAAGAGATTAGTGACTAACCTTTGTATCCTTATTGGTAACTTTGGAACAGTTTCAGGTTTCTTTAGTAAAAAAAAAAAAAACTTCAAACATTCAAAACTTCCTAGCATAGGAAATAAAAGTAATAAAAGCATATAAATAAAAATATCATTTTAGCCATTACATAGAGGTGGAAATGCAAACCCTCGTCTCTCTGGCCGGAGTGATTGTCTGCAGGAGAGCTGACACAACCAAGTCAGAGTTTTTGCAAATGAAATCCAAAAAAACTTTATCTCTGTAGCTTTATTTGATTTTATGGTATCTGTACTCCACACAGGCCATGCATAATGATGTTCTGAATATTTTCTGAAAGTTTATAAATTCCTGTAAAATCGCCTTCCTTAATAAGTGTAAAAGTCTTGGCTGAGCAGTATCCATCCGTTGCATTTGTAATTATTAATCATTGGCTGATGCTGCGTCACTTTTACACTGTCTCAGTTGTTTCCATCTGTTTGTGAAGAGGTCAGAAGTTGACTGGCAGAGGTCCTGCTCTCTGAGAGTTAGTGGCATGCTGGAGGGGGCTTGTTTCTATCAGGGGTGAAACACCCACCCGTCCATCACCCTGACAGAGCTGTCAGCCATTCTGCTAAGCCAGAGAAGGTCTTGCCAACAATCAAAGGACTTTTCACTGAGGGAGTCCAGCTCTGGTTGTCATCAGGGAGGGGCGGGCCCAGCTGTCATCAGGACAGCCCACCACACTCCGGGCACCGCCCCTTTTTTGTCTCTGTCAAATCCATGTCATTGGTCAAGAGCACAAGCTCTGCCCACTTTCTCTCTCTCTCTCTCTCTCTCTCTCTCTCTCTCACTCTCTCGCTCAAACTCTCACGCACACCTCAAAAACCAGTTTGTTATCCAGTTCAGCAGTTGTCAGTTTTACAATTCATTTGTGTTGTAGGACGTTGAGAAGCTTTTTCAATTTACACATAAGGTTTTATTATTTTCCGTTCCCCACTGAACTTGAGTTTTGATGATTTTTGGCCGAAAATACTGTTCACTTGCTCCTTGGTCATGTCAGTGCTCTTATTCGCCACTTGAGGGAGGCAAAACTAAACAAAATGCCAAGCACCGGCATGGTGGAAAAGCCTTTTATGTACTGTACCATTCCTGACTATATTACATATGTCACTTGTTTTGCTCTTTCCTAAAGTCAGATGACTTTACTCACTGATGTTTTAAGAAAAGATGATGGTTCAGGCTGCAACCAACAGTTAACTTCGCTGTCCCTTATTCTGACAGCCATTTTATTTGTGTATTGAGAAATTGTTTGTTCTATTAAAAATAAAAAAATACACATAAGTGTGTGTTATAACTGCAGGTAATAAATATACATGTTAAGAGCACTTGCTCTGCCCACTTTCTCTCTCCCTCTCACTCAAACTCTCACACACACCTCAGTACCTGTTTGTTGTGACCTGGATACCAGTTTGGTATCCAGGTCACAACAAACAGCAACAAGCTTCTGTAACATTTCTCTCTTTACTTGCAGCATAGTATCAGACTAGAGCCTTGTCTGATGCTTCACTGGGTCTACTATTACATAACCAGTGAGCTGCCTGCATGAATCAATTATTTATGTTTATGTCACAACACTGACGATGCTTTGATTATGACAGGCAGCCAGATAAGGCAGTGCAGAGAAAACGATTTCCACTGAGCCCATGGCTTTGTCATGTGGCTGCTGAGAGAGTGCACCTTCGTTCATGAGCTCAAAGAGTCAGTGATTGCTTGTTTTTTAAAAACAGCCCTGAGAAATGAACGCAAGCCTATTCCCCACAAGTCAATGTCTGTAAGTCCTACCGCATGAGATTCTCAACTAGCTGTGCTCAGTCCAGGGCAGGCAGAGGATGACCAGCTATGTTAAATGTTAAATGTGTTTTGGGTAAACTTATCGAATATAGTGATACTGGGTTTTTTACTTCTTTCCTCTTGCGCCTTGGCTCTGGAACGCTCCACCTGGGCCCCAGTGATGGTACAATGGTTAATACACCTGATTCAAACCCACGCTGGTTCAGATTGGTTTAAACAGTGCCACCTGCTGGGGTACAGGAGGAGGTGCATGTCAGCAATGGGATTTCAAGTTCCACTCCTGAGATATTTTAATATTTATAATTGCATATAAAATACCCAGCTAAATAATATGTAGTCTTACACAGGTTTTCCTTAAAAAAGGTTCAGTGAACCTCTGTAAAGGTTCAACATTTGCCCCTCAACGTGAATTCCAGGGTCCATGCACACACAGTAATGGTTAGCTTTAACAGTGAGCCAAATGTATCTTAGTTGTTAAACACCAGTAACTAGTTGCACGTCTCATATCATCTTATAACATTTGATAAGATTTCAGTATCTCTTCATTCTTTCAGTTGATAAATAGTGTAAAGAAGCTCCAGGGTCCGGTTTACATCCAGATACTGTTCACTGCAGCATATTTGCTGTCAGCAGATACAAGTTTCACTTCCTTGTGCTGAAAAGATAGTTCTGGTGGCTGAGTCCAGAGGTTCCAGGTTTCTCCCGAACTCTGGAAAACACATGAATGATTTTTGGCTGTCACAAATTCAATTTGCCCGACCCTTTTTTTTTTAGAGTAGAGTGGGTCTTGAGGGAAAGTAACTAGATTTGTATCTAAACCATCAGTTTAGTTTTAAAAAAGTTAACAAGGAAAAGTCACTCAAATGGGATTTTACAGTGTGTTTGAGTTTGTTCCTGCTCTGAACATTTCAGTTGACTTTGTTCAAGCATTAACCTTATTAATGTGCTGTTGAACGTGTGATTATTGAACTGCACTGATGCCTACCAGTAGTGGCTTTTTTCCCAAAACTCATCACAGAGTATTGATGTATATCATAAGAAATCTGTCCACAAAATAAATCCTCATGAGATGAATACAACTATTTCTGGTACATTAGTACTAAAGGTGTTTATTAATATTTATAATCTACACCATTACATTTGAATAGCTTTGCTTGCAACGGTCTAGTTTCTAAAAATTGATACGAGACATTTCCGCTAGATGATCTCATTACTGTAATTATGTTTACACACACCACGTTTAATACAGTCGCTGTAGCTCATTCTCAGAGGTTAGAGCAAGTTGTTTGGTTTCTATTCTCAGCCTCTGTTTAATAAGAAATGACTCAGGATATAAAGTAGGTGTATACATTTCTTAGAGGTTATTAAACATTGGACAAGTTGGACATTTGTTTTGTTGTTATTTAGTGCTCTGCATTTGTTTGTCATATCGTACAATATGTCAGAATGAATAGGAGAAAAAGTCATTATGTCTGTGTGTGTGGGAGATGAAACAACAGAGAGGGGAGGGAGAGAGATATCAAAGACTACAGCAGAGTCAGGCCCTGTAACAGAAATAAGGTTGGAAGGTTCTCCCTCCTCCCCCCATCCGGCTTTCCCCTGATCATCGGCTCTGAGGAGAATAAACTCAATCCATGTTAAATTATAGATTAAGGTTTGACTCTGGCTGTGCTGAGTTTTACAGGCTTCTGCTCCGGCCACTGTTGCCTCACCTCGCTGCCTTCTCAAGGTCAGCATCAAACACTCCTGACAGATGAACAAAATTTTTAAGATGGCAGGAATGTGTAAAGATTCCTTCTACAACATGTTCTCTGTGAGGCTGTGTCTTGTCGGGCTGTTTGTGTCATACATAAATTAGCCTTTTGCATCACTTTTCAGGTCACAAGCATTTTTCTCACTGGAAATTTTGTAATCACAGATGAGCTTTGGTTTTTTAGTTCTATGAGGAGATCACTTGAAAATACTAGTTAAGAACTTTATGAGTATTTTCTAAAGGATAAATAGATTTTCTGCTCTGCTCTTTGTTCTTCAGCTATTCCACACAAATGCTGCGATCACAGCGTTTCAGAGGATCAGAAATGCAAATATGGTGTCAATATCCATGTCTCTAGGCTTCAAACATGTCACCTTTGATGCTCTCCATCACTCTTCTTTGTCAAAAACTGAAAGACAGAAAAAACAGAAACAGTTTTCAACTTGGTGATAAGCAAATTAGAGTGAAATCACCATGTTATTGTAAATTATCTGCTAAGTTACGGGCTCATTATAAAATGATGAGAAGAAATGTTTGTGACAGACTTCTTATCTGTACATCTTGATTCACCACCTTTCAAATGCCTGTAAACTGTCTCTGCTACAACACATATCAGTATGAGTAGCATAGGTTTCTCATTAGACTTTCCTGTTATCTACAGTTTTCACCATAATTACAGTGTAAACAGTAGTATGGAAATCTTACATGGTTCTGGTTACATACAAATATATAAACCACAAAATATCACCCATGACCAGTTTCCATGCCACAGCATTTTATTTATTCACAAAACCAATTCCAGCCAGTTCATTTAGTTTCTACAGTACTTTTGTTCTCTAAACATTTTTTTTATGTTCTCTAAGAATGTATTTTAGTGGACAATGTAGAAACCACAGGAAAAACTGATAGTTCTTACATAAATATAGAGTCCAGTGTATGAAAAATAATGCAGTGAATGGATAATTTTGATAGAGTCTGTGACTGAAAATAGAAATCTTTATCTAATCTCAACAATAGTGCAGCAACTACATTCTCATGTAGCAACACTTAATGTTTCCGTTACAGTGGTTTCATGCAAAGCAAATCTCAAAGCAGTCAGAAGCACCAAGATAATGTCCAGTGTCAACATACATGATACTGTACATGCATTTTCAACATAACCAGCATAGTTTCCAGTCTGAATTACAAAACAATGTGATCTGAAAAAAAAAAAAAAAGTTGAAAAAACCAACTGGACTAGGTTTCTAGGTCGAAGACTTGCTGTTTTTGACCAGCTTCACAATCTCTGGGGGCTCTGGGTCTTGACTGGTTCCTGCACCTTTATGGGATGCAGGACTCTGGTCTGGTTCACTGGAAACTGACATTTTGTGTTTCTGCTCATAGGATGAGCAGAGCTCCTGCCACTTCTTTCGATTTAGCATCTATCTCATCAACCATTGGTTGCAACTTCCTGTTAAGCTTCAGCAGTGCCTGTGAGTGGCGCAAGAGAGTATAGCTGAGATTCAAACACCCAAACAAACATTTATTTTTTACAAATGTACCCAAATGTCTACCTGTAGTCATCGAGGTTTACCTACTTTGTAAAGGGGTTTACAGATTCCATCTATCCATTCCAGCTGTAAAGCAGGTACTTCATCTTTGCGATTACGGTCAAATATTGCCTGCAGAGAAGTGATAAGCCATCCACGTTACAAACTTTTGTCATAATCGTTTGACAAAAAAAGAGGTGATATCATGAATGTGGTTTGGCTGTGCTGGTAATGGAATGAGAAATCTGTTTGCTAGAAAAAAATTACCAATGAAAGACACAACTTTAACACCGTGCTTACTCACCCCTGGGGTCAACTTAGGCTCAGACCTCTCCCTGTCACCTTGTTCAAAGAATTCACTCGTCACCAGCTGTGCAACCTTAGGACATAAATGTAAACCATCATTATTTCATCATTTTTCTCAAATATAAAGTAACATTTTGGCTGCAAAGGTTCTAAGAAAACCATAATATGGTGCTACCTTAGATGTGTTTTTAACCAAAAAAAAACAACTGCTGAATGAATTTTTGTACCTGTGTTTCTGGTTCATATGGATGAATGGATGGATGGATATTTCTCTCTTACTGTAAGGCACCCATGCATCAAGACCACAGGAAAACACTTGCATATCCCAGCATGCAAGGCAGGGAGACATGCTGTACAGGGAGAGCATGCACATTTTTGGAGCCTAAAAGGGTTATAACATGTGGACAGATTTGTTTTTTATTTCTACCTCCAAGCCCTCAAACATGAAAGCATAGATTTAAGAAACTCTCACCTGCTTGGATATCTTCCAAGGACGAGTGGCGGTGCCCAGATCACATGCTGTCATCAGCATAGACCTGTTGATGGCATCAAACTTCATTTCTAGCTGTTTGTTTTGCTCTTCACATTTAAATATTTTGGCACATAAGGTGCTTTTTTTAGTACAAAGACAGAAACCTGAGAATTTCTCTATGTCCTTCATCTGTCCAGCTGAATTCTCCAGACAGAACGCACTCAAAGAACTTGGTTCTGCGCCTTACGGTGCAAACACAGTCAACGACAAAGACATAGTTAAAAGGCAAAAGAACACACTCCAACACGTGCATTTTTATAAAACACAGAAATCTCCATTTTCAATTCTTCTCAATACTTCAGAATCTACTGTATGTAATAATTTGTGGTAGTCTATTTCAGTTTAATGTTTTACCAGTGATGAACTGTTTCAGTTCTGAATTCAACAACAACAAAAAACACTTACTCAAAGTGCAAAGTAAGGTCTGTGGAGAGAATAGCTTGCTTCAATAGTTGCATCATGTTGCTATACTCTTTAGAGCAGAGGTTTGCAAAGATATTGTGACCCTGTGAATAAATACAATGGCATACAGTAGGCACTTAGAAAAAAGCAGGCAAGGATAAATAACAGTGGCTAAAATGTCTCCTTAAAGCCAGTGCATTGGTAAAGTCATTGCTCAGTGTCAACTGAAGCGCCCATTAGCAATGCTAATTAGCAATGTGTATAGACTTTCTCTGTCCTTTGTTAAAAGAAATCAATAGAAAACACAGTTCCTGGGGATCCAACAAAGCTGCACCTGAGACAAAGCAGCCTCGTAATATTGCAGTCGGTGAATGCTGCCGACTAACGGCAGTATAGTTTATAGCACTGTCCACAAGCATAACTTGCACCCCAGGCAGATTTTGCTAGCTCAGTGCTTTAAGGTCAGACATGACCAGTGGTCATGAATAGCTGAATAGCATGAATATTCTCAGTGTGTCCCAGGCATGAGCAAGGCATGCGGTGGGCCTGCCCACCATTATACTATTATGTTCAAACTGCCCAGCGAAAGGAATATGTGAAGGAAGAAAATCTTAAAACCCTGAAAGCATTTTTGCAAGACAAAATTTTATACACAGTTTTGCTGCATCACATTAAATTAAATTTTCACAGCTCTTAGGTCACTGAAAACAAACTAAGACCACAAAAGGAAAATTTACCATTACTACAGTAAACCTCCGAGTTATATAAGGTTTTCACAGTAATCCTGTAAGAAATATTTATCTGACCTCACTTTGGAGGATCATGACCGCATGGTTGAAGTGATGATGCTCCAGGGTGGCTGATGTCCCATAGAGCAGAGCCAGAGCAGAGCCTGTCCTGCAGGGGAAAAACGCAGCTGTGAAACTTTCAGCAACTTAAACTAAGGGACTGGTTTGTTATCATACTTCAGGCCTTTCTTACTTACTTGGCTTGAAATGCATTATTGGTGCCTCGATGGTCCAAGTCGTGACACAGGCAGCCAACCATCAGTGCCAGGATCTCTGCATCTGATAAAACATCCTGGAAACTGGCTGTCTGCCAAAGTAAAGTAGATATACTATTTTATCTACTCAGCTCATTTTTGTCTATACCATATTGCCTCTTGCCATTTGATAAAATAAGACAGGATCAGGAGGGAAAGTTGATCTTTAGTGTATTGATGTTTGTACCTGGTCACTCTGGTAAGTTGATCATTCTCTCAGAGGCTTTACTTAAATATTAGTCCTCTAAATTGTCTCTTAATGACGTTTCTCCTGTGAGGTTTCCTTTAAATAATGTTTTGCTCAGTGAATTATTTTAATGACAAGTCCCCTGAGACTTAACTTTTCTCATGACAGGGGCATGCATATCAACTTTAGACTGCTGAACACTTTAACATCTACTTCCCTCCTTTTATTTCTACTCACATAGATTTAAAGTTAAAAAAGGTATTGGCTTGTTCCAGCCTTCACTGAAGTAATGTGATGTTTGTATTATGTGAAATATTTGAAACTAGGACTCATTTTTTCATGCAGAAGAAATATTCAAGATGTCTTATGCATCATTTAAACACATTCACCCTCACATACCAGGCATCTTTGAAACCTTTGCGATGCTCAGTGAATTTAAAATAAGTTCTGTGAGTTGAAACAAAGTTGCTAACTGGAAGCAATACACATAAACTTACCGTGATCATAACAAACATGCACTGAGACACATTAAAAGCGTGACTCCAGTTATGATAAGCCACAGTCTGACAGTTCTTCCTCACAGTCAGAAGCCAGCGGCACAAAACCTACAAAGAGACTTACAGGTGAGATACATATTACCGGCCAGCTCACGTTGTACAGGATGAATTCCAGAGCCTTACCTCGTAGTCAATTTTAAACTGTTGCACAACACCGAGTTCCAGAAACATCCAGAGTGACGCGATGATCATGGCATCGCTGTCCAAAGAGAAGTTGTTGAAGTGAAACTCATCAATGCCTAAGTCACTGCTCAGGGGGATCTTGGCTGCCTTATGGGGGGTAGGCCAAAGCTGTCAGTCACACACGTGCCAGCAAGATAGGAAGCAAAGCAATACAAGACTTTAATGTTTTCTCAGTATTTCTTAATGATTACCTTGAGTCTGTCCACTTCTACTTTGGAGCAGGTAGCATGGTAGGACAGCATCTGAAACAGCACAAATTTTGTAAAAGCCATGAGAGAAAGAACTGCTGATACAATGCTAATCAGGTAGCAACTCCAAATAAAATCAGACCTACTGTGAAAAAGACCCTGCTGCTACAAATAATTAATATGTTGCAGGAATGTTAATTCACTCTGTCTTGGCTGCTCATCATGTTGCATAATCAGGATCAGAGAAAGTACAACTCTGCCTTTAAAGCCAATATGTTTCTACAGAGAGAAAAATCCTTGAGGAGTTTACAGAGACAGCAAAGACTCTGTGATAGAAAGACAAGTGTGTGTGTTGCCTTTGATGAGAGGTGAGCAGACTAGCACATGTATTTATCATGAGTTATTGAAAGCAGCTGAAATATTTATGGCAGAGAAGCAGAATCGTGTCTGCTGAGGGAACTGTGACTGCTCAGGTTGGATACCGGGCAGCGGAGCAGAACACAGCTGGAGACGCTAATGACAGTTAATAGCCTCTGTTACCATTAGCATTAATCAGACACCACATACACTCAGGTATTTAAATACACATCATGAGCGGTCATAAAAATCCATTTTAATTCATTAATGGTTCAACAAAATACCAGCTGAGTATTTTTCACACCTCAGGCTATGAAAATTCATCTATCTATTCAGTATCAAGATCAGTAGTGCATGTGAAAGCATTACTTTACAAATATCAGGATCTTGTGTTTTGTAATGAGGAAGTAAAGTCTGTAAGTGCAGCGGTGTGTTTCCCTGATGTTTTGTTTTAGAATAATCCAGGACTGACAGTCTGACAGATGTTAGTTTTAGCCTCTGTATGGGGAGTGTTAAAAATACTGTTAAAATAGAAAATGACCAGCCTTATCCTTTAAGGCACAATATTGCTTAAATACTGGCATAGCATGCTCTCATAAATAAATGAAATGTGTTATTTACAATACTTATAACTATTTATTATTTTAATTGTACCATTACTAGGGTATCTTTTAAACCAGAAACACAAGTAAAGACAAACATGAAGAAAACTGGAATTGATGGATTTGATGTAACTAAAAAGCCATTTATGACAAAAACAAAAACAAAAAATATTTAATTTTTTCACAGTGGTTTAGTGGCGGCTACTAAACAGATAAACGCCTTGCTGCTGTGCTTACATCCAGCGCTACAGACTGTCTGGCTCACGTCTTCTTAACTTGATTGTACATCATAGTGTTGTTGATTCCAAGTCCACAGAATATAACAAATGCCTGCACAGAAAAAAACACAAAGAAAAAAGAATTCCCATTTGTGCATCCAGTGCAGCAATATACACCAGAACAAAGGTTTAGTGTATCAGCTGTCATTTGAGTTTTAAATAATTAACCTCAAACAGCCTCTGATCTGCATCACTGAAAGTCTTCCTGTCCAGTCGGTTCAGGATTTGTGCAACTCCTGTAGAAAACACACATATGTATCATTGACTGTAAGATGGAAAGTGGCTTCTGATAAGAGAGAGAGAGAGAGAGATTTATTTCTGATCGGCCTACCAATTATCTGGTGAGTTCGATTCCAGATAGGGACACATAACACTGATCTAATGTGAAACCCTGAGGCCTGATCCACCTGCAAAAGGAGAAGGAAGTGACTATAGTGCGGGCTGAGAGTAGTTCGGGTTTGTGTGAGAAATCTGTTTTTTCTTAGTTTGAAACTCTTGCCCAAGCTCATGTTTGTGTCTGGATTTCAAGTGAAAGTTTCAAAGTTAACACTGAGAAATTAATATAAATAAAGCACATCCAAACATGCTGTGTATGTGGCTGTAAAGCAGATCACAGCTGCATTTGGCATCATTGAATAATTTTTAAGTCCATCTTATACAAATCAATTTCAGTTCTTGTGACAACCTTCCAGTTTTTCTGTGTTCATGGTGTGTGTCTGTGTTTGCTTACTGCAGTCATAAGCATGTATTTGTGTTAACTCTAACAGGTCTTAGAGTAAGAGGTCCCCACCTCAGAATCAAAACGTGGGTCCTGACACACATCGCTGATATTAACAGGCAGGCCAGTGGAAGCCACCAGCTCAGCAATGCTGTTATTGATCAGCCAATCAGAACACGATAGCTTCTCCATGCTGATGTGGCCAATAACACAGACAGGAAACAATAGTCAGGTCCAGGTACTTAAACATCCAACCCAACAGCAGTAAAAACTGAGTGACTTAATATTTCTTACTTGTTTTGTTATGCTGGGATGTGGAATGTGCTCATCACATCTATGTGTATCTGTTTATTGTGTGTTATGTGTTGCTCGGGTGGCCTCTTCCTAGGGTGAATAATCAGTCTTTGTATCTGTCTGCCAGACTGTCTTCTTCATATCCTTCAAGGTCTCCTAAATAATTTTACCTGATGTCATGGTTCATGTTGCACAAAGGAGACATGAGCTCAAACATCTTGGAGAATTTCACAAGCTATTTAAAAAAAATACATATGTCAACACAACAAGCAGCAACTGTGTTTAGCAACAGAGATAGGAAAGTTTGTTTAGGAGCCAGAGGTCTCACAGGTGAGTCCACGTCCTCCAGGAGAAGCACGGAGCAGCGCTCACACTGCAGGAGGGTCAGAGCTCGCTGCATGATCTTCTTGACGACTTTCTCCAGATCAGTCTGCTCCTCAAACAGGTCATTGACCACCTCCAGCAGAGCCTGTGTCAATAAGCAGGGACAGCAGTCACTTATGTTCATTACACAGCGTTGCTGGTGAAGGATACATTAGGAAGGCATTGGTAGTCACTGTGTGAAATCCATTATGTGGTAACAGGTTCATAAAAACTACTCACTAGTGGATGGGTGCAGTCACTTTAACACACAGTATGTCAGTGAGCCTAACTGAATTGCTTATATTCATATGTAATGAATAATAAAGGAAATGTTATTGTTAGTCCTCCAGTGGAGATAAAACAATGTTTGTATAAATGTCCATCTTATAACTTCTCCCCCGACTTCTTTCATACTCTTTGCGAGACTCTGAAAACAACTTGGCATTGGAAATCGATATTCCACAGAACGGTACATACATCTGCAGCACCTGAGTGAAAGTAAAAAAAGAGTGGTGAAATGCATGTATAATCTATCAATGCTATTTAGATGTTTAAAAAAAAGTATAAAACATTGTTGAAGAAAGAGGAGTGCGAGGTAGAATGGGGTTATAAAGTCATGATGGGGTTAAAGCTGCTTCGCTGCACACATTTCTCTCCAATCT